GAGAGAGAAAGAGAGACTTCAGTGATAAGAGAGAATCATTAATCGGTGTCCCACACTGGGATCGTGGCCGCAACCCGGGCATGTGCCCTGACCAGGAATCGAACTGTGACCTCCTGGTTCATAGGTTGATGCTCAACCACTGAGCCACACTAGCCGGGCTTGAAATATTCTTTTGAATTTTTCCCCCAACCACTTAACGTAAAAATCATTCTCAGCTGTGGGCGTTACGGATCTAGGTGGTGGGCTGGATTTGTTTGGCCGTAGTTTGCCGGTCCTGGGCTGAGCTCAAAAAGCTGTTGCAGGCGGTAAAGTGAGTTCAGGCACATGGAGCCAGTGAACAGGGACCCCCGCCTTCATTGTCTCGTCAGCAACACATGGTTCCCGTTAGGTCTGGCTGGTGTGAGGGCAGGGCGGTGGGTTTGCTTGGAATGTCTGGGCTTCCTGAGAGTATTTGCCTTTCACAGCTGTTCTGTCGTGTGTATGTGTGTGTGTGGATCTGGCGGAGTTTTTCACACAGATTCCTGTGTGTTTTCTTCTAAGTCCTTTCATTCATCAGGCCTTCTCGGGGCTGTGTGCTAAGGTTCAGGGGCAGAAGGATGAATGGGCCATTGAGCCTGCCTGGGTGCAGTGTTCGTTACACTGTCTTCACAAAAACAGGTGGCAGTAGTTTTCAGGGATGATTGGCCAGGTGAGGCATCTAGTTGCTACTCGGCTGTCTCTGTCACCTCAGACTTGACGTGACCATCACTGGATCGGACACCCGCCTCCCGGGCTCCGCCTTGCCTGCTCCTTCTCTGCCACATTTTCCTGTCGCGCACAATCTGACTTCTTGGACACCACCAGCTCGCCACACAGCCCCGTGTTCCTTGGCGGACGGAGGAGCGGAGCTTAAAAGCCCTGTTTGCCGAGTGCTGTCTGGGTGCCCAGGCTCTGCTGTTCATGAGCCCCGTGAAGTCCTGACTGCCGGTCCCTCAAAGGTCCCTGCACATCTGCTTCCCCCCATCCTTGCTGTCTCCGTGGGCACGTGTGGTGCTCGCAGCCTGCTTCCAGCCTCAGCCTTCCTCCTGCCTTGTTCCCCGGGCGCTGTCAGAACAGCCTCCCCACGGCTGCTTTCCTCCTTTTCCAGCTGCTCAAGAATCCTCTACATTAAATAGAAACTATGTACCTTTATTTTTAAGTTGTTTGAAAGGAAATCAGGAAAAGGAAAAGCTAAGTGGCCCCACCTTATGAAAGTCTCCAGGGGCTCGGACCCCTTAGACTCCCAGAGTTGTATTTTGGGTGCCAAGTGAGTTGGTTCTGCCTCTTTGGCCCCATAGCTGGGCCAGCCTGGCCCGTGCGAGGCCTGTCCCAGGCTGGGTGCCCTCTGAGCTGTGGTTTGCCTCCTGGGGCTGCCTGGGTCAGCTGCTCCTCTTCGGGGGCTTAATGAGCTTGTTCACGGAGCTTTGCTCAGCACCAGTGCCAATGTCTCCGGTCTCTGACCGCAGGTTCAGCCCCCAGGTCCTCTGCAGGGGCTCCGGAGATGAGGCTCGCCTCTTCCGTAAGAGGCTTTCTGGAATCCATTTGTGATTGGATTCTCGAAGCTGGACTGTTTGCCACGCTTAGTCACATGGTGGCGTAGCCTGGATGCCCACCTGGTATTTGCAGAAATTCCCAGAGGTGGGTGAGGAGTCAGGATGTGCCCGGATTTGTTGGTGCACGGAAGGGTGTGGCCCTGTGTTCCAGGAGCCCTCTGCGGGAGCTGGGCCCTCAGAGTCTTGTCAGAAGTATCCAGCTGGGCCTTTGCTCTTAGGAACTCTCAGTCCCCTCCGGGGCTCATAGCCGCAGCTAGAGAGAGCATCCTTGTCCCTTTGCAAACGTGCGTCTCCTGGCCTGGCTGGTTCCTTTCCAGCCTCCCTCGCTGAGGAACTGCTTGAACGTAGGCAGAAAGGCCAGCCTCTGACAGTAAACCAGTGCAGTGCCCAATTCCTGGAGAGGATCTGGTCAGCCACCTCGCTCTCCTCTGGGGAAGAGGGTGGAGTAGGGCCCTCTGGCACATGGCACATGGCTTCCTAAGGTCTCCTCAGGTCCATGCAGTCTTCCGTGGTGGCTTGTGATGGCCAGAGGGCCCGGCTGGGGCGTCGGATCCCAGTCTGACTTGACAGCCCCTGCAACTTGTCCCCTGCTGACCCTCCTGGCCTGTTTCCTGCCAGTCCTGGAAACACCCCTCCCCCTACCCCTCTCCTCTCCGTTCACCCATTTGTACCTGCTGTGTCTGCTTTGCTTTCTTTTCTTTTTTTAAAAATATATTTTATTGATTTTTTACAGAGAGGAAGGGAGAGGGCTAGAGATTTAGAAAAATCGATGAGAGAGAGACATTGATCAGCTGCCTCCTGCACACCTCCCTCTGGGGACGTGCCCACAACCAAGGTACATGCCCTTGACCGGCCTTGTCGCTTATATGATCTGCTGCCAAGGCTTGTCTAGTTTTTGCTCATGTGTGTGGAACTCAAGGACACTCTTAATTCTGTCACCACTTTATCAGGGCCCTCAGTACTTTTCACCCAGGCTTTTGTATAGTAACATCTTACCTGTTCTAGCCTCTTTCCTGTGCCAGGCCAGCTCTGAGCATATCATTTTTCTGCTCAAAATTCTTCAGTTTCCCCAGGCCTATCAAAAAAAGTTCAAATTCTTATTATTCTTGTTGTTAACTCTCACCCAAGAATATTTTCCCATTGATTTTTAGAAAGAGTGAAAGGAATGGAGACACCGAGAAACATCGATGTGAGAGACATCGACTGGTTGCCTCCCATATACGCACTGACCTGGCAGGGATCTACTCCTGACTGGAATTGAACCTGGGACCTTTCAGTCCACAGGCCGATGCTCTAGCCACTGAGCCAAACCGGTTAGGGCTGCTTCTGCTTTCTTGAGAATTGCTGGGAATGGCTCAAATCCCAGTCTCCCCAGGAAGGCCTCCTGACCACTGCAGTCCATCCACCCTCCCCTTTGCTGAGCCACGTGTTGCCTGTCTGTGCAGTGGGACATCACATTTAGGTACACGTCATGGGCATTCTCTCTTTGGTTCATGTCTTGAGTACGTTAGAGGGCAGATACTAAAGAATAGGCTGCCTTGAATCCTAGCTCTACCTCTCACCCTGCTTTCCTTCCTCTGAGCTGTTTCGTTTGTAAAAAGGAAATTCCACGTAGTAGAGTTGTGTGACGTGTGACCAGGAGGCTGTCTGCAGTGTTCGTTGTGAGGGTTGTGGTTACCATCAGTCTTTTTTATCCCCAACCAAACTTGATGCCTGGACTCGGCCACAGGCCTGCTCAGTAACCCCTCACTACAAAGTAATTGGTCCTCCCTAATCCCCCAGGTACATGGCCACCTCTGGCCTGGACCACCAGCTGAAGATCTTTGACTTGCGAGGGACGTTCCAGCCTCTGAGTGCTCGGACCCTGCCCCAGGGGGCGGGGCACCTGGCCTTCTCCCAGCGGGGACTGCTGGCCGCAGGAATGGGTGATGTGGTCAACATATGGGCAGGGCAGGGCAAGGCCAGCCCACCCTCCCTGGAGAAGCCCTATCTCACCCACCGGCTCTCGGGCCCCGTGCATGGCCTTCAGTTCTGCCCCTTTGAAGACGTGCTGGGGGTGGGGCACAGTGGGGGCATCACCAGCATGCTGGTCCCTGGTAAGTGGGCCAAGGGGTGGGCCTGAGATAGCTGGGAGCAAGGGGTCTGGTCAGGCTGGAGTGCTGAGCTGGATTCTTGCTTATGGCTCCACGCTATTCCCTCCCTCCAGGGGCTGCTGAGCCCAACTTCGACGGCCTGGAGAGTAATCCATACAGGAGCCGGAAGCAGAGGCAGGAGTGGGAGGTGAAGGCCCTGCTGGAGAAGGTGAGGATGTGGGGCTGGGGCTGGGGCAAGCTCTCCTACTGGGGGTCTTGGAAAGAGTTGGATTCAGCAGCCGCCTGGCCGCAGCCCCTCTTTGGGCGCACCCTCCTCACCCATTCCTGTCCCTCTCTCTGTGACACCCCAGGTGCCTGCAGAGCTCATTTGTCTGGACCCACGAGCCCTGGCAGAGGTTGATGTCATCTCTTTGGAGCAGGCCAAGAAGGAACGGATAGAGAGGCTGGTAAGGAGCAGACCCGAGTCCCAGGCACACCCTCACCCACCACATCCGGAAGTGTGGTCCAGCAGGTGGGTGCTGCCACAGGGCCCTGTCTCCGAGGCTGGTACAGACTTCACTCCTGTCCCCTTCCCCAGGGCTACGACCCCGAGTCCAAGGCTCCCTTCCAGCCAAAGCCGAAGCTGAAGGGCCGAAGCTCCACCGCAAGCCTGGTGAAGAGGAAGAGGAAGGTCATGGACGAGGAACACAGGGTAAAGGAGCATTTGGGGGTGGGCCAGGCCTCCCACGGGCTGTACCCTCCTTCTGCTGGTGCCTCTGTCCTTGCCAGCCTGCCACTTCACACTTTGCCCCCTATCTTCCCAGGACAAAGTCCGACAGAGCCTTGAGCAGCAGCCACAGAAGCAAGAGAAGGCGGTCAAGCCCACGGGGGCCCGGCCATCTGCCCTGGACAGATTTGTGCGCTGAGCCAGGCTCCAAGATGGCCTGGGGACAACACCCTCTCCCCAAGGTCACCTGTGGGGGGAATTCCTGTTCCCTGGAATGAGGAGGGGCAGGTGCCCCTTCCCCAACTGGGAATAGACAGCGGGCTCCTGGGGTGGGTATTAAAGAAAGTGAAGTTTTTGGATAATGTGTCTGGATCATCCTGTGTACTTGTCCCCTTCCTTTGCCAGCCTGGGGCTGCTCTAGGCTCCAAGTGGTCATGTGTCCCGCCCCTACCCCACCCCATCTCTCGTGGTTGCTGTGGCGTTATCTTTGCTCTTTAGGGGTTTTTCTCCTCAAAGAGGCTGTGCTTTCTCTCCCGAGTCCCTGGAGACTCCCACCCAGCAGGGCTGGCAGGGCCCAGGCTCCCAGGCTTGTGTGCCAGGACTCCTGGTGCGGACCACACTGCACTCGAAGAAGTAGAGAGATAAATTTATTGAGGGGCTCCTGCCCCTCTCCTGCCATGGATGGGGATGACCGCAGCATTGCTTTACTCTCCTGATGACCATCTTTGGGGCTGGCAGGCCAGACCCTGGGTTTCCCCTGTGTCCTTCAGGCTTCAGTGACGGACTGAGCGTCTGGTGTCAGGAAACTGTCCAGTTGCAGCCAGATGCCTTGGGCCCGGGAGAACGGTGGGGGAGCTGGCTGGCCCCTCAGCTCCTCACTCCTCGCCACTGGCCCGGGTCCTCAGCTGTGAAGCCAGGCTATCACCCGGCACCGCAGGATGCCCAGGACTCCCTGGAGCCAGGAGCAGAAGGGCGCAGTCCTTTCCCCAGCAGAGCCGCCCACCAGCCTCCAGGCTTCCTGCATCTTCCAGGGGTCCAGCCTGTGG